CCCCTGTCTTTTTATTTTGAAATAAGTATTTAGAGGTCGCTCAAAGCGCTCAAAGTTGTCCATGTTTTTTTGTATGGAAAGAAGGTTGTTCGATCAGAAGTAGGGTTTCACAATCGCTCATTTTCGATACCAACCAACCTTGGATTAAGGGAAACCTACATACCAAATTTCGTTGAGATATCTCAATTTTTGCTTGAATTATCGTGTACACGGACGGACGGACAGACGGAAAGACGGACGGACAGACAGACATGGCTTAATCGATTTCTTTTTTCATCCTGATCATTTATGTATACATTTGTCTATATCTATCTCGATTCGTTTTGGCTGTTACAAACAACCGTTATGTGAACAAAATTAATATACCCTTGTGCACAAGTGCGCTCGGGTATAAAAATCAAAAAAAAATGTATCTCAAAGAAAATTACGAATATAAAAAAAAAGTCATCACGTGTTCATTTGTTTGAGTCACTTATGTATGCAGTATACATATGTATATGTATAAGTATAGCACTCAAAAATCCCTTCTGAACTATATATTATATATTTTCAAGTCAGGAAACAAATAAAATAGCTACAAAAAGTCGCGATTTTGGCTGTCTAGGACGGAAATTTTGATAACAGGCAGATAACAAATAATTTTTTTTCGTAATCCGGGCTTATTAGCCCTTTCTGAATAGAGAAATAAGGCTGGTGTTTTTAGTTTTAAAAATGGGTATAGGAGGAAATCTCCAATGATTGTTAGAACCCGATATAATATATGTATTTGAAAAATTAAAAACAAAACTTCCTCCAACACTTTTTATAAAATTTCATATTAGAAAAGAGAAGATATAGAACAAAATTAACCAAATCTTTTACTCCTGCATACCTAATAAAGTAACAAAAAACTTTTCTCAATAATTTTAAACTCCGCAGCTTTATTGATGTTGAGCATTCTCCAAAAACTACGGCCGATTTATCCTTTGGTTGGACACGCTATTATCCCTTATCAGCAATCGAAGGGCTTTTAGATGAAATACTAGCAGAACACCCGACAGTTACAAGTGGCATCGATATCGGCACTTCCTATGAAGGACGTAAAATACGAGGCATTAAGATCTCATACAAAGAGGGTAATCCTGGTATCTTTATCGAATCCAATATACACGCACGCGAATGGATCAACTCAGCGACGGCTACTTGGTTCATTAATCAGCTTCTAACATCGACAGATTCCGATGTGCGCGATTTGGCCGAAAACTTTTATTGGTATATTGTGCCAGTTTTGAATGTGGATGGCTTCGTTTGCACGCATGAAACGGTATGTTTCCTCATATAACTGAACCACTTGTCTCACTCTCTCCCCTTTAGGATCGCATGTGGCGTAAGTCTCGCCAAACAGTTGAGGGATCAGCATGCATAGGGGCCGATCCGAATCGTAACAGCGATTCGCATTGGATGGAGAATAGCGG